TGTTGATGGCAAATGTAAATCAGATTGCCCCACTGCTTGCTCATTCTGTACATTTTTGCTCTAAAGTTAACTTGGTGCATGAAACATGAACAGATATAATAGGGAATCAAGTCTCTTTGCAATCTTTATCATCTTTAAAGGGAAGAAAATGTTATATGAGTTTTGTCAGTACAGTTCTTGATACCATTTTGCTGATCTTTCTAAGTACCCAGTATTGCTATTCTGTTTCAGACGCTGTGCAAAGTGCTGTACATGCATCACTACATTTAATATAATAACTTTATGAGTTATGTAATGCTACTACCCCTGCCTTGGATAAGTAAACTGAGGCTCAGAGAGATAAAGTAATCTGTCCAAGGACAAAGAGGCAGTGAATGAGAACACAGGGATTTGAGCTTGAAATCTGATGTCCTTAATTAACCTGTACCACCCACAATATGCTTTAGGCCCAAATGGCAAATGATTCTGTCTTCATGGGGAAGATGATATATAATCCTTTCTGGATGGGACACACAGAGTAGCAAAGACTTGTGCAGTGCATAGTGGAAACTTTCCAGACAACACCCAAGGGCAGTATTCTAGTCCTATAATAAAGGTGAGGTGTGTGCTTTTATTTCTTCTCTTACTCTCTCATCCAGATGCAGTCCTCTTAGGTGCCATGAAAAATACAGAAATTCACAGGTAAATCCCCAAATGTACTCTGACTGATTCAACAAATACTGACTGCCTACCATATGCTAGGCTCTGTCATGGGGCCATGAGGAAGACACACTGGCTAACACAGACGTAGCCCTTGCTTACCACCTGATAAAAACAGTTCTTAATAAAGTGACCAAAGCTGCAATTAATGAAACAAACAGAAGGTTTGGCTGGAGAAGAGTAAGAAATGGAAAGGGAGGAAATCACCCTTAAAGTGTGTGGTCAGGGAAGGCATCTCAAGAAGGTGATATGTGAACTAAGGAATGAGAAGGAATGAACCCTGAGAAGCATTGAAATCATCCCAGGCAGAGAATAGCATGGTCCAGAGGCAAGGAATATTTTATAGCATCTGAACACCATAACACTGTCTAAATAAAATATTTGAAGCTGTATAACAAAGGCTGAAACCTTCCAAGAGTCGTCCGAACAAGCAAGATATTCAAGCCACTACCACCACAAAACAAAGCTTATATTATATAAGCTTTAAATTCACCTATTTAAAACATTTTTAATTATGAGGACCCCCTAGTGGTGCAGGGGTTAAGGCTCAGCACTATCAAGCTATCGCCAGTCACTGTGGCATGAGCTTGATCCCTGGCCAAGGAGATGACACACATGGCATGGCAGATCTTTCCTATCTCAGCCGCTGCTCCCCACAGCAATGTGTTTCAGTCAGTCTGCCTTTTCTGTTCCCCATTCTGTCTCTGGTGAATCCTCTCATACCCACACTTCTTGCCTATACCTCAGCTCTTGTATGCATAAATAAATGTTTACAAAAATCTTTAAAACCTTTTTAGTTGTGGTAAGGTATGCACAGCATACAATGTACCTCTTTCCCCATTTTTAATTGTGGCATCCAGCAGTGCTGAGTACATTTAAGTTACTGTGCAGCCAATCACCATGACTCAATTCATCTTGCTAAACTTAAGCAAATGCTTGACAGGAGCTAGTAAAGCCTGGAAGTCAGTTCCCCCAAGACCATCAACTCTGTGATATGGAATCACAACTAATGAAATCACCACAGGCTCTTATGAGTTAGGCAGCATGACTAGACTTAGCTCACCCATCAGTGCTCACAAATTCAACATCAGGCCAGTGGGCTGAGGTGGTTGTCTTGGAGACCCACTGCCAACTGGGCCATCCAGAAACACTCTTGACCCTCTCTGGCATACCCATAACCAGCTTTCATGTACAGATGACACTGCTTTTTGAGGGCCATTTCCAAGAATATCTGTGGGGGCCCAGAACCTGCCTTGCAGACTCAGCACAGAGGCAGGGATCAGGATGAGGTTGTGTGAGATCACATCATGTAGCATCAGCCTACACGAGTGAAATCCTACAGTGTTTCAGATTATCATCAGCAATACCAACTTGAAAGCAGTTAGTGAATTCTGCTTGCTAGGCAGACCCATTGTCTGAGTAAGTTTAAAAAAAAAAAAAGAGTAAGAAAAGAACTGCATGTCTCTCTTGGGGGAAATTGTCAAGCCAGGACCCAGAGATCTAAGGCCTGTTCGCAGGCTGTCCAGTCGTATTCATAGCTGCAGTGCCCTTGGAGACTGGCACCAAGGCTGGATCCCTGGGCTCTACTCAAACCGACAGGGGGTAGCTGGTTGAGAAAGCAGTGGACTGCAAAGAACATGCTGCCTACCAGTGAAACAACAACCAATGAACCACCAGAAGAGGGTACGAACTACTGGAAGACAGAGACCTCTGCCCCTGCCTTCGGATGTGTTAGCATCTATTATCCACCAGGATCTGTGCTGAGCTTTTATAAACATCATCTCACTAACTCTTCATCAGGAACTCACTCTTATTTTTAATCCCCATTTCCCACATAAAGAGGCTATAGCCCAAAAAGGTTAAGTAACTTACCAAGGGTCATTCAGTCAGTAAGTGGAAAAGGTGTAATTTGAATCGAAGCTGATCTAATTTCAAAGCAGACACTGAGAACCAAGCTGCTTTTCTATACCCACACAGGCTTTCAATAAATGTTTGGGAATGTATCAACTACCAAAATTCACGAGCACCTACCAGGAACTGGTGTAAGTAGAAATATATCTTTACTCATTGTATGAAATAGAAATTTTCACAAGAATAAGACTGCCTAATCTGGGATAAAGAACTCAGACGGGGTGACAAACATCTCCTCTACTCCCTAAGTGAAGCTTATGGCAGAGATGAGGGGAGTACCAAATCACAGAACTACAAGGTGAACAACACTATCCAGTCTTTGAGGAAGGGGACAATCAGCAATGCACATACTCGGAAGAACTCCACTGGGTGTGAGCCAGCCTATCACTAGGAATTCACAGATAGTCAGGCCTTAAAGCTCCTATCCAGAAAAGAGAGGATCCTCTAGAAAACTGGGCAGTTGAAATTTTGCTTGATAGCTTTCTTGAGAAATAGATTCATTTCTCAGATTTGCCATGGTACTTTCAATAATAAAATTATGATCCTGATGATAAATAATAATAAAAGGTCTTCTGAAATTTGTATCTCTGCTGGAAGTGGAAAAAACTAAAATTCGGACACTTAGAATTCAAATAAAATATTATAAACAAAAGTCAATAAAAGACAAAGTCATTCATTAAAAATTTAGAATGTAAAAAATTGATTTTGTTTAAGTAAAACCATTCACCTTTCCTTCATTATTATTAGTAGGACCTGGAGTTTATCTAGGATATTAAATTTTTCAAGTCTAAGGATACATTTTCTAGAAGCCGCTGTGTTAGAGCTTAAAAGGATATAAGTAGAGTCACTGGGTAAGATATAAGGATATAAGTAGAGTCACTGGGTAAATAGGCCTGTATCAGCTGGGGAAACTCCTCTTTGTGTCCCTTGCCATCTGCCTTTTCCCCTCGGGATGCAGAGGCAATGGCTGGAGACCTAGCAGCCATGACATGATCTTGAAAATAAAACAATATTTGAAAAAGGACAGAGCAGGGAAGCACAAACTGCTCCCACCCAGATGGCTTTTAGGCCAGGGATACAAGACTAAATTTTATAACTTATGAGGTTAAATCTGTCACTAGAAAACAATTCTTAAATGACAGAATGACCTAAAAACACATCTAATGACCATTTTTCAATGAAGAAAAACATCTAGAAAATCGATGAATTTAAATTCTGATTATCCTTCTATTCACCAAGTCATTTGTTTAAGTATGGCTTTCCTTCTTAATTATTACCACTACTCCAAGAAAGCATATTTGCTGAACCTGTCTTTATGTTTTGACATGCAAGACTTGTGAAATTCAAACATACTTGTAGACATTCAAAGCATTATTATTTATTAAGGACTGTATTAAAGCTGGAAGATCTTAAAAACACTCTCAGAATCTGATGATTAAAGGAAATTTAATCATTCTTCATTGGCATTTGATCTTTAGCCTGCCATAATCTACCTGTATATCCCTTCATCCATATTTGATACTAAAAAGACATTTCAACAGCTTGTCCATCAACTGTAACACAGAAGGAATGTACAGAAAAACCACATTACTCAGAAAATAAAAGAGCTTTCTCCCACACTCATGAGCTCATGAAAGCTCAATGTGATTAAAAAGATGAAGAAGGCATGCTCCACTAGGTGAACTAGAATGGCCATGTAGGACCATCCATTATCCTGGTAAGGAGTTCTGAAATATTCAGTGCTTTCGCATACGTTATTTCTCATTTCATCCTTACAACTATACGCTGCAAGGTAGCACAGAGGGAAATTTATATTCCTATTTCTTCTAGATAATTGGTCTATTCCAGAGCAGAGGCACTGGTACTGAGCCAGATATCCTATTTATAGGATACGTGACCCCTCTTTATGAATTAGGCCAAGGATTGGCAAACTATAGCCTTCAGGCTTCAGGTCAAATACAGCCTATTGCTATTTTTGTAAATACAGTTTTACTGGAACACAATTATTTACCTGTCATCTACAGCTACTTTTGTGCTACATCAGCTGAGTTGACTAGCTGCAATAGTGACTGTGTGGTCTAAGAGGCTGAAAATATTTATTATCTGGCCATTTGCAGACAAATCTTGCCAAACCTGAATTTGATCACCTATTGACAAATATGATCACAGTTATGGATCCCACTCTTGAAAGCCATAAAATTATCCTGAAGGGCAACAAACCTAATAAGTCTGCTTGCTTTGGAAATCACCCTTCCTAGCAGGGGCTTACACTATCTTCCAGGAGATCCACTTCTATGTTCCCGGAAATGATGGATAGCAATTTGATACAGAGTATCAATATTGTCTTTTACTTACCCTGAACTTTTAAGGTGTCTCACAGCCATATAAAGCCTGGAGTCAGTAGCAGAGGGCATGCATGATGCCACAGAAGAGCAACACACAGAAGGACACTGGAAGTAAAAAGAAGTGAAAAGGCAAATTGTGATGCTTCAAACAATGAACATGGAGCCTTAGTTATTCCTGGTCAACATACTAATTTTACATGCAAAATATAACCACATATCTAAGCATCTGTCTTAGAATCAGCATTCCATTATTTACAACATGAGCTAAGTATTACAGAATTCTAGTGGAAAGACAAAATGTCACACAGCCAGGTAAAATTGCCACTCTCGAAGATGCTGACACTGAGTCAAGAAATTTGGTTCTTTTAACTTCCATCATTTCTGAGTTTTTAGGACAAATTCTCCTAAGTTCAATATTTTCTCATCCTAGATAATGACAGGATGACCAATGACTCCAAATGATGATTTTGCTTTGGTTTTTGGTCTTTTAGTCTCTCTCATTGTATCCAGTAGAAGCAACTGAAAGAAATATACAGCCACACAGACATACCATTTAAAAATGAAAAAAAAAAAAGAAAAGAAAAGCTCTCTTATGCTAGACAAACAAAAACTTGTTACTTTCCATAGTTTATAGTTCTTTTTCTAGCTGCATTTAAAATGCTTGTGACATAACCTTCTCATGGAAACAGTCATGTGCTGAGGCTGCAAGCTTTCAAGGCTTAGTTGGGTTATTAGTAGAATATTTACCAAATCCGATTCTGAGTAAGTTGAAGTTGCTGACAGCTAAGTCAACTCATCCTCAAGCAGTTTTAAGGAGCTTTTGTGAACAGTACTCAGGGGCAAGGTTTTGCATGCCAAGTCTTTTCTGAAGCCTGGATCCCTGACATGATAATGCCACCTACCGCCTTCAGACTCTTTGTAATATGGAGAAATGAACTACAGAATGAGTAGAAAGCATGAACTCCCAGTGCTGTGTGTGTTGCTCTTTTAACAGTAAGCTCAGACAAAACTCTGTGAATGTACCTGTGTTCTAATCTAATCAGACAAGAAGTTGAAACTGAAAAGAAGATGTATGAAGTTTTATGATTTGAATAGTCACCGAATCTCCGGAAACTATGTGGGTTGTCTGTCTACAGAGCTCAGAAGAGAGTTAAGAGGTGATGCTCCCTCTTATGAAAATCCTTTCATGATCAGAGATAAAGTCAAGGTCAGATTGGTCCACATTATGTTTTCTAGGTATGAGCTGTCTATGTGAGTGTTAAATGACCAATTTGTTAAGGCTTACGAATCTTCATTCTCCTATGAGCTTAACATGCTGTGTTAGCATTATTCCACTTCAGTAAGGCAGCTTAAGAACATGATAAGAATACATCAGAAATATTTTTAAGATAATTTTAGTTGGCAAAGGCTAGATCGTTTACACTTAATTGGTGAACTCATTAATGAGCAACTGCCACCACAAGGAAGAAGACCATTGTCATCGACTTATCGGAGCAATGAGATAGTGAAGTTAATTATACTGTTTTCAATGGATTTACACTTGCATCTACATTTTCCAAACATTTGATCTGATACTCCATGAGTTTGCTCCTATTAACAAAAGCTATCACTTGGGATTCCTCCAGGAAAAGTCAGCCAATCACAACCCCGACATCAGGGCAAAGCAATTGGTAAACTTTTCTACCCTTTATTATCGACTTGTAAAATGTTATAAGCCTGTAAACTAGTTAGTTTATGAGCCATGTTAATAATTTGCTCACACTTGATCGCCGGTTTCACAAACACAGTTTCCAGGGATGTGGGAGGATAATTTGTAGGTCCAGATTCTCTCCTAAGGGGACACTAACTAATTTGACACAGTAACATGACATTGATGGGGGGCACACTAATGACCAGACTCCGGGACGCGGCTGTCAGCCTGTCGTTTCAGTGAAAAGTCAGCTTGCTCTCACTGATGCTCAGTACACAATACTCAACTAATTATTCAGACATCAGCATTAATGAGAACTTGTGTGTTTATTTTCAATATACTAACCAGCGCTTAGCTTCCATTTGTCTGATATGGTCACTGATTAAAATGTGTTTCATGAATAGTAAATTTGAACTCTAATATAACAAAGCAGTACCAGAGCAAAAAAAGCAACAGCTGATTGGAAAATCAACTGCGTCAGCTCAACTTGTTTTCTGCCTCAAATATCATCAAGGACAAAGTGACAGGTAGTAAGAATGCCACGAGTACCAAGAAAAGTGAAAGGAATATTTTTAATCATACATTCCCATGTGTGATTGCTGAGTTTTGAGCAAGGCCACTAGGTCACAAAATGGTCAATAGCAACTTCTATCTCAAATAAATCTGACTAACCTTATGATCATTGCAAAAGATTTTTTAAGTTAGTTTTTCCATGGAATAAACAAAAGGTTTGTTAAATGTGCTTTTTCATCTGTACAAAAGTTCATCTTTGAAGAAACTATCTCAAATATCATCTTCACAAATATCTCTAAATGAAGTTGTGTTTTTTTCAAACCTATTATAAAACTGTATTACTGAGCGTTTTTAAAAATGTACTCTTTAATATAATATGCTCTTATCCATCTTGTTTCTAGTCTACTAAACCTTGCAATCAAGTTCTTTCTACTCCAAATTAAATTTCTATTTTGGTGTGATATATTTTGTCCTTCATTTTATGGTGATTATAAATCCTAAAATATTCATATAATCATAATTGAAAATGAATAACTTAAAAAAGGTGTGCTTAGATTTACTAGAGTTATTGAAAAATCGAAAACTCCTGATGTGGTTCATTTTAAGATGTGCATTGCAAATTAAATAACAATGGTAATAATTCAACAAATGTTCTCTTTGCCACCGCAGTTAAAAAATTCTACTCACTACTGTATATGATTTCAGATTTTATAAAAGAGCAAATTAAATATAAGTCCACCAAGACTGCTTTGGATATGAAAGTGAACTGCATGTAACATTTCTCAAGTATATGTTTCTAAACATACTCTATGACACATCTATAATTTCAGAATGCCAAAATATATAAATGGCAAATTACATGGAGGAATCATTCAGATATCAGCCTAATTTTTAAGATGTATTTAGAAAAGCATCTAGATTAATTCTCCCAAACAAGCGCAACTGTCTCCAATGCTGCTATTTACATGGGCACCCATTAAGCCAGGTTCTCAGGCCATTGACAGCTCTGTGTATTTTATATATGGTACATATCTGTCCTCCACAATATGATCAGTGTGGCAGAAACTTTCTAGATACTCAAGAAAGCCACTCTTCTTCCCAGGCACATAACTGGAATATATCACACCCTCCCTTGCAAATAGGTGGAGTATGGGGTCTGGACTCTGGGCTCTGGCCAAACAGATAGAGCTTCCTGACCTATCCCTAATGACCTCTCTCTGTCCTTGAATATGGACCAAAGGTCCATGGAGAAGTCCTCCTTCTTCCTGATGGTGGAGTCAGTGATTTAATGATTCATGATTCCTGCAACCCCACATGGATTCCCCTGCTCCCCATCAGCCACTAGGCACCCTCAATGTGAACCTCTACAGAGGAATGCTGCTGAGATTCAGAAATGTTTGCGACAATCAGTGGTAGCTCTTACCTGAATACACGGACCTTGCCTCCAGAGTTATCTGTGAATCACTGGGCCACCATATATAAACAGAAGCTCTATAAACTTGGAAAAATTTCCAAAGGTATTTTATAGTTGTGATTATGTGCTCCACAACTAAGCTAAGTACAGAAAAGAGAAAGGAATTCAACAGCTATCATATCCCAAAATGTGTCAAGTATATCTCTCCTTATTTATTCTTCACATAGAGCTGTAAGAAGACCCGATTCCTATTTTATAGATGAGAATACTGAACCTCTGACAAAGAAATGTAAGCAGATGCCACAGAAAGTTAATCCAGTTGCCATTATCCCTATTGAAACATTTCACTTTTAATATAGAGATGTTATAGAAATATGCACTTAAGAAAAAAATATGACATCCTCAAATATCTTTAATAAAATATGTAAGGAGGAAATGTCAAACTACTGAGAATGTCAGAAACTTCTGTAGAGGTTTCCAAAAGTCAACAATAAGGGGATCTGTCTGAAATGTTCTCAGTGACCAAGAAAGAAAAAGAGACCCATTTCAGAATCAACAATATATATTGAGATCATATCAGCTGTTGAGTAATCAATGTTTCAAACATTTTTACATTTTTAACGTGATGGCTGTTGCTATATATAGGGCACTTTATTATACCAAAGTTGTATTTTAGAACAAGGATTGGCAAGTGTTTTCTGTAAAGGTAGAGAGTGAATAGTTTAGGCTATACCATCAGAGCTTCTTCACTGCAACTATTCAACTCTGCATTAGTAGTAAGGAAATATGCTGTAGATGCCAGTAAACAAATGTATTGGTTATATTATTTGCAAAAACTATTTGTGGGCTGGATTTAGAAAATTGACTAGGGATTTTGTATAGTACACAATAATTTTTCCTGTGTAAAATAACAAGGAATATGCTGTGGTTAGCCTTTTCATCCAGCCTTATCTGAATGTCAGGCTGGGTTTCTGATGTTTAAGAGAGTAGCCTTAATTTGTGAAAGGCTCAAGAGATAAACAGTTAACAGGGCTCAGTTTCCATCTAGGGTCTCATCCTACAGCCCCTTCCTCCCAAAGTCATGCCATCTTTCAGAGAAGGATTTCTTCTGCCCAATGAAGCTGCTCAAGATATCCTATCTTATATTAAATAAAAAATTCAAGTACTATGAAGAAGCTGGTGCTTTACCTCCATAAAGAGAAGTCCCTATATGCTAAGGGAATGTAGGTAACTGTTACCTCAATGTGACCTTATGGTAAGATCTTCACTTTTAAAAAATAAAATAAACAATATATGGATATAAAATGCCACTGAGGGGAAACTGTCATGGGGGTGCAAGTAAGTGGAAAGTGCGAAATGACAACCCGTAAAAGTTTCAATTCTAAGAGAAAGTCTCCCTAAATTAGCACCAAAGATTTCCTGGATTTGAAAAGTGGATTCTGTTAAACAATTTCAAAAAGGATCTATGTGCCCAGTGATGGACTGTGG